CATTCCAGCAACAAGGGAGTTCAACCAGTAGCCTGTAGTTACTGGTTTATTCAGAAACTAGGTTAAGAAGAAGGTGACTGAATTGTTTTAAAATATGTTCAAAGTCCCGGAATTGTACTTCAGAAGAAAATACATTTTCCCTTTCACTCTGAAATCAAAAAGTTTAAAGGAACAGGGAAGAGGCAAATAATCCATGTTCCTTTGTGGAGCCATGTCCTCTGCCGGTGTTGGTACAAGTTGTTTCATTCAGACCAAGGTCAGTGCATCAGTGTGTAACATTGGAGCACTTTATGCTTCCCCTTGCTGGCAAGCTTTATGGAGATGCTGACTTAATTTTCCAGCATCAACTGGCACCTGCCCACATGGCAAAAAAAAAGTACTGACACCATTTATGACCATGGTATTACTGTGCTTGATTGGTCAGCAAATTTGCTTGACCTAAACCCATTATGAGAGACGCCAGGCCAAACAATGCAGACAAGCAAAAGGCCACTATCCATAACACCTCAGCAATGCCAAAAGCTGATCGCCTCCAACCTCGCTGAATTTCTGCATTTCAAAAAAGGTCCCAGCCATGTCAAGTGTAAATATTCTTATGTCTTACAGCAGGCCAACATTTCTCTTAGAAATCTTTTTCTGTTGTTTTTAAATGATCTAATGTCATACTCTGAATTTCTGAAAAAATATTATCAGTACTATAAGAAATAAAGAGTTAAAATATCTCACTGCATGTAAGCAACTTTCAAACAAATTACTTCCACTTATTGAATTCAATTACTTACGTGCATTTATTGTAATATAGCTAAATGTACTTGTACTGTTTGAAAGGTTTCAGTGTGTCCAACATTTGTTTATTCTGCAGCTTATTTTAAGTATTTATTTTCAGACATCATTATTGCACCTTCTGAAATACAACACCAAGTTTCCTGTCTTATGTCACTGCATAAATATGCACTGCACCCCGATAACAAGAACTTCTGCAGATTTATCTCTGGCAAATAAAATGATCCAAGTATGACGTGTCCACCAAGCTCTGCACTCTGCTCTGTAGTCTCTCTCTTAAGTCCATCCATCTCTCTGCTTCGGCCAGCAAATCTGCCCCATGGTCTCGTCTAGCTCTTTGTCTCTGTCTCAAGGGCCTTCGCAGTGCGCACAGTAGTCCACAAAGTCTTAATTCAAACGAAACCCCTTCGCGCCCCGTTAAACCACTGACCTTCTCTGTCATTCCTGTCACCGGCTGCCGCCGCAGACGAGGGCCTGAGCTGCAAGCTAAAAGACCCCGTGCTCAATAAAAATGTGGGTGATTAAACAACTCCCAGTAATTGCTCCTTTTGTGCAGGAATCAAGCGGTCACACTTATTACAAAGGCAGGAGACCGCGAGGCTGGGACCAGCCGCATCCGATGAGGGCCAGACAACCCTCAGTGACCCTGTGCCCTCCCGTCACTACTCCTTTATCTGACCAAACAACCACAGTGGAGTGTTTGAGTGTGGGTATTTGTTTACCAGCAGGTGTGTGTGGGTTAGTAGGAGTGTATGTTAAGTATGCAAAGAAAGCTACCGACACAAAAGAGCAGCAGAATAACACAAGAGCTCCCCTCTGTGGTCAAAGATGTGACTATGCATGAAACATCATTTGGATCGAAGCGATTTGCAGTTGCAAGCAACCAGCCAGCTGGCTTTGGTATTGGGTGACAAAGCCAAACCGGGGGACCATGTCTAACATGAGGTCCTGGTAACAGAGATCATAGTAATTTGCAAACTATACATATCATCTGGTAGTCACGAGCATATATACATTATATGCATTCTTAAGCACCAAGACCAAACCACGTGTCATGTCAAATAGGCCAGCTTACAAAACGAGGCAATTACCTCGTACACATGCAAACATAAAGTGCTTCTGAAGAGCTTGTGAGTGCTTTGGCTCCGCTATGATCAAGACTGCTCTCAACACAGCCAAGGCTTGTACACATACAGGGCCCCGTGTGCCAAAACAGCAATCAGACCGGACTGCTGTGGAGGTTTGAAATAGGAGAGCTTTCTGTGGTCGGAGAGAGTAACAGAAACCGAGAGGGGCCAGACGGCGACGGCTTGCAGCAGTGCATGGATTGTGTTGATGGAATTGCTCATTTCTTTTCTTCTACAATCATAGCAGTTTCTGAAAAAAATGCTTTTATTTACATTGTTGTAGTTACAGTAAATAAAGCGGTCTTGTGTCAGTTTATTTTTTAGTCGGCACCCACAGATAAGAAACCTAGTCATGATAAAGACAGCCGAAACAGTTCAGTATTCTCAGACATGATGGCTTTGTGAATAAGAGAGCAGGTCATAAATAATTCCTTTACGTCACCATCAAATATGCCTGATTATAGAAAATTATACATGTGAGAATTGTGAAAAGGCAGAAAAAAAGATTTGATTTGATCTTCTTTCATCTGCAAACTGAGTTGTCAGAAAGGCCATGGAGTAATACTGCCCCCTTCTGGCTGAAACACCAGGAGAAAACCTCATCAACAATAGAAAATGACTATGGTTGATTGCCACATATTTTCAAGACATCAAAGCAAATAATGCTGTTTGTAAAAACTGTGCAAAATCAAGTTTTATTCTTCTTCTCCAGCACGGCTGCCTTTCACCAGCGCCATAATTACCATCATTGCCGTTGTCATAATCTCTGAGACATCACAAAACAGAGACAGACGGTGAGACAATAAGACCCCTAAAGAGACTCATCGCTCACACATCTTGGCAGAAACAGTTATCAGCTGTTTGCAGAGTCTGGCACTGCACTGGGTCAATATCACATGTCCATCATGTCCATCATCCATATATACACATATACAATTTGCTTTCTTTCCAGAGTCTTTAAGTCCACTTAGTGGTTAGAATTCCAGTTCTTTTGAAAGTTCATTTTTGTGGAGACATACCATACCAACATGTTCTATATTTCAGTTTGTTTGATTCTCACCTATTATACTTCCTGTCTACTGCGGGTCTGATGACAGTCCCTGTCCCCATTTTAGGCAAATGCTGAATATGTGTAATGCGTAGTATATCAAGAAAATACAAAGCTCACCTGAATGCAGCCAGAAAATGTTTTGGGCTTTGGGAAAGTCCACATTTTCCGATTGTAGAATTCCGATGCAAAGTGTTGCTCATACACATAGATGGCCGTTTGAAAATGAGCCCGGCAAATTATTCATTTTATGGAGAGATGACTCATAAAAAAACGATGATGCACAAAAGGTTAAAAGGCTATCACAGTAATATGATCACAAATTAAATACTTTTTTCCCCTACTGAGTAACATAATAGTCCCAACACTCCAACGTACAGTTGAAACCAGATACTTATATATAAGTTAATGTTTTATATATATATATATATTATATATATATATATATATATATATATATATATATATATATGGAGAGATGACTCCATATATATATATATATATATATATATATATATATATATATATATATATATACATCTGAGATAATTTCTTGCATGATGTCCAAATCTAAAGAAATCAGCCAAGATAGTAAGAAAGGGTAAGTATTCATAGAAAAACTGGTCCTGTATCAACATGGAGAAGATCACTGATTAAGGAAAAAGACAGAACTCTAAAAGGAAATCAAAAGAGACAGAGTTTGTAAATGCTTAAAGTGTCAAAGGTAAACATTTTTAGGAAACTTGAAATTTTGAAGCAATATTTTACGACAAGCCAAGAAGTTAATGTTTGAGCACAAATGCGTTTTGCAAATGGAGAATGACCAAAGTATACTGCCAAACTAGTTATAAACAACTGGTCAAAATTCTGTCAAACTGTGGTGAGATGCTTCTAGAAAGAAACCTCTAATGTATGACTCAAGTCGTATGGTTTAAAATATACTGCCAACAGCGAGTGAAGTTATGTAAACTTCTAAGCTGAAGAAATTCATAAAATATTCTCACTCTCTTTTTGTTCAATTTCAAACTGTGAAAAAAGCAGAGATGATTGTGTCTTATTCTTTGCAGCATAATGTGTAAATATCTGGTTTTAACTATACAAATTTGCATCACTGTTATGTACTCTAATAGCTACAGTTTTATTGTGATGTTTCATCTATCATACTTCTCTCTTTATGTCTTCTGTATGCAATAAATGACTGAATTAAAATAAATAAGAAAATAAAGTTGAAGCTGATAAATACAACAAATCCTACATTCCATGCCATCATTTCTTGAAATGTTTAGGGTGGGGCAAAGGTCTTTATTTATTATTTATTATTCAGGTTATGGAGTTTTTCAGGTTCACACTGTGCTTCCTGTAGCCTGATTAGGTTAATTAAACAAAATCCATATTTCTTTCTATGCTGGGCCTGAAATGGAAATCTGTCCTTTTTGGGTAACATGTCTAAGACACATATGGGTCCCATTTTTCAGCCCACTTTCTACTTTATATGTAAATGGGTTCAATTGTCAATTGGCACCTTAAATCTCAATTTTCAGTAGGTTAATTCATCACTAAATAATATTTACTTTTACGCATTGTTAAGATGGTTTGATCTTATTTGGTTTAATTCAGATCTATTACTGCAATCTGAAAACCTGCATAATATTTTATCTTTTATGTGTTGTGTTTGTTAAAATAGTAAATAAAAACAAACAAAAATCTCAAAAGGCAAAAAATGAAAATTTTCATGGTCAATAGGAATTTCTGTTTCTAAAACAATTATCATGAACAGATTAGCTACGGTAGATTTTTTTTTTTTTACCAAAACAAAGTACATATATTGATATTAAGTTGAAATTTAAAAGAATACTTTTGACAGCCTAGAAGTATCAGTGGACAAGTGGTGCATGACCCTCCGCTAATCACGGCCTCAGTTCATGTATTCAGTCAGAAAATACTGCAGAAAATTATGACAGATAACTTTCCAAACACATAAAAAAACCTAACTTCTATGTGTGCATAATTCTCTCCAATATTTGTCATAAAAAGGTCAATAATCATTTGGAATGAATATTTGTTTTACTACATATTCACAAAGAAGAATAAAAAACTGAATCAGTTAAAGTAAACACACACCAACAAGAATATAGCCTCGGCAGTCCCAGAAAAATGTGTGCATTTGTGTAAAAACCGGGGGAAAGCTGTTTCATACCAGGTCAGGTGAACTGAGGGTCAGGTGAACATGTAAGTCGTAACAATGTGGAGAAGGTGAAACACAAGAGAAAGAGGACAAAACAAGAACACTAGAGTTAAAGCATGTTGGTAATGATGTGCTCAGGAACTTTTCATCCCTCAGTGTCTGGCCTGAGGACAGCTCACTCAAAACGTTTGCTTCAATAGTCTGTCTTGTCTGCTTCCCCCCTGCTGAGACAGGGATAGATCTGCTGCAGACCCTCCATTAGCTTGAGTAGATTTGGGTCCCAATCACACGCATGATCTCCTTCTGCACCTTAGGCTCCTGAGTGTTGATGTTGGCGTCTCCTACTTGGCCATCCTCATACCTGCAATTATACACAAAAAACAATTATAAACATTAGCTTAGAAAGATATTCACATTGGAGTATTTGCTAATCTTAGCAGCTTATGACTACGTTGCATAAACAAACTTTATTGTTACATACAGAACATTTTAAGTGATAGACCAGGGTTCTGCACCATACAGAGCTGGAAGTGGCTATTTTTACCTTGTGCAATGCTTCATACTAACTTCAGCTAAAAACATAAAAAAGAACTAATGTTTTAAATGTAGATGTAAGTGTTTTTATGAATAAATAAATTATATTTTCCTTTATGTCAAAACCTAAAAATGGTGGTTGTTGGAAAAATGACAACTCATTTTAACTATTTTCCATCAAAGGGCTTTTCATCACAGTGACAGGATTACTCACACAAAAAAGAAGCGGGTACAGACATGGTCGGAGACGGGACACACCCATATGTTGCCATGTTTCTGGAGATCTTTAGATGTGATCACTGGGGAAGAGAAACACACACACAAAAAAACAGTTTGTATTCAAAATTTCTGTCATGTTTACATGACTCCTCATTTAAATCCAGACATTTTTATTTGACCTTTATTAAAATGGGTGAGATAATTTAGAACTTATCATTTATAATTACTATAATAAAACAAACCTAATAAAAGCAATTAGTTATTTTTATTAACTTGTAATTTGTAATTTTTTAGATCAGTACCTCAGTTGTTAGTCTGTAATGTTTGTGCTGTATGCACTTATTTTGTAAATAAATAAATAAAAATACAATATTTATTTTTATTAGTAAATTACATTTTGCAGAACAGATTGTACATGGTCCAAACAGAGTGCAGGTTTTAAATTGATATCACATCTTCTGCATTAATATGTATTTATCAAAAAAGAGATTTTCAAAAGTATACTTATCAAACACAAACATGTATTTCACCTTTAACACAGGTATTACCTTCACAAAGAGCAATGCAGTTCAAGTTTCGACTTTGCAGAAACCTTGATTGTATTGGGCGGCTCTACAATGAAAGATAGAGTCATGGGTTGCAGTTTAGATTAAGATCTAACGGATGTGTTCAAAGGACAATGTTTTTTTTGTAGGCAATGAAAGGCTGCATTGAGATAAGACAAAAAAACTGCCACAATACAGTGGCAAAACACATATTTAAAGAAAATGTTTTATTTAACATTCATCATTTTAACACAAATAAGAGTGCAATGTGCCCCTCACCTGCGGAATAGTGTTCATACGGTTGTAACGCTGTACCAGCTCATCTTTGGTGGGCATGCGATGTTGTCCTTTCCCCATTCCTACACAAGACAGCAAGGCCAATAAGAAAAATGAGTCACTCGGGTTATGTAAACTTTATTTTTTGTAATTTTCAATTAAATTACTTTATTTTGAAGGTTTTGTTTAGCCTGAATAGGAATACATAATATGCTCACTGACAAATTCAATTTCAGTGTTTTTATGAGTGTGTGCAGAATGTTTGCATGCATAAATAAAAAATATGCTTACAAAACAATTGGAAGCTGTAGTCTTTTTGAAATATTGGGAAACTCTTTGCAAGTTTTACAGAATGCAATGGACTTTAACATAAGTTCTGATCATTTTCTTGGACTCTTGGTCAACAAGCAGGAAATATGCAACCTTCTGATATATTCTATCTACAAACACTACAAAATTACAGTACAATAGAAGAGAAAAAGGAAAAAAAAATATTGATGTTGCAAACCCAAAACCAAAACAATCACAACATAAAGTATGGAAAGGCAGGTTGCACACAGGGCTCAACTTTTACAAATGAACAGACATGACACTACAAAATAGCTGCACAACATATTGACAGCTGTAAGACAAAAAAATGGCGTGCTCCGTTGTGATGATCAGGCCACATCAGGAAGACACTGAATAGAAGCAGGGATAGCAGGTCTTAATGGCAAAAATAACATAATCCTACCTGAGTATCCAAAAGATATACTGGAGATGGGGCTCAGATAGATGCCCTTTCCATACGCTGCGCCGTGCAGCTTGGGATTGAAAAGAGCAGGAAGGAAGGATGGGTAATTGAGCTTTACATTTATCAATAAGGCGCATACAAATACAGCCCGATTTCTTCCTTATCAGCTCTGGAGGAAAAAAAAAAAAACTAATGGTTTCACCAAAAGAAAATTCTGTAAAAAGTTTCACACAACTTTTCTTGTTTGAAAGTTGTCAAAAAACGTTCACACAAGAGAATCAAAATAATTGAAACTGGATAACAAAAAGGAGAAGGAATGTTTTGTGGTTGAATTTTGTTAATAAAATTAACAAAATTTCATTAACAAATGAAATCTGTTAATGAAAATGCTACCTGAATTTAGGTATCCAGGTAACATTCGGATAAAAAAAAGATTTACAGTGATACATAGAGTGTGCAGATACTCTGAACATTTTTAATTGTGTCGCTTTACAACAATAGATTTCAATGTTTCAATGTTCATTTGGATGTTGTGAGATAGACCAACACAAAATATTCCACAATTGTGAAAGAGAAATAAGGACACATGGTTAGGAATTGCACTTAACTTTTGTTTACAAATAAAAATTTAAAACAAAACAATTGGAATGCTTACACATTCATCCCCACAGCATGATGCTGCCACCACCAGGTTTGGACATTTCCATTTTGCTTATTTACCAACATGCATGCAGACCACAACGTTCAATTTCAATTTTGGTCTCATCTGACTACAACAGGGAGTCTATAACCTGAGCTGAGAATCTCTGCATCCACAGCTCAGAGAGAGGGTCACACAGAATATAAAAGAGGTAGAGGCTGATAACAGATGCAACATGGTTAAAATCTTTAGTTGTCAAAAAAGATAGAAAGAAAAACAGCATCTATCTTCCATGTCACAAATACATAATTTTGTGCTTGTCTGTAATGCATTCACAGTTAATGTTTGTGTTTGAATTTTGATAGGGGTTAAACTTTGAATTAATTTTTTTATAAATACATTTGCCAGACATACATTTATGTAATCTATGCTAATGCTGTTAGTAAGTGGAAGAAGACAGACATAATTACGAGGGAGAACACACACACCCCCCCCCCCACACACACACACACACACACACCCACGCAGACACATTTACAGAAAATGAATAAACAGAAAAACGTGAGGTTTGTGCGTTAACTGAAGGTGGAGACTGACTCAGTCTCCTTTGTTCTGTGAAAGACGATGACAAAGAAAGGGTGTGGATGCTCCATCTGAGACAAAGAGGAGGAGGCAAAAAGCATCGAGCCAAGATCCAAGATGGAGAGTTCAAAAACTCGGGAGAACAAAGGAGGCATAAATGAGACATATCAGCGTGACAGAGCAATTGCAGCTGACAAGAATGATTCAGTGAGCTCAAGATTTTTGATTGAATTCTGTTTAATCTATTTTCAGCATATGCAAGTGTCTCTAAGCAGCCACTATAGGCTGTTTTCTGAAAATCAGGCAACGCTGTGCTCTCTCTTGTGCTGGGTTAGCACTCTGATATTTTTAGAGAAAGTTAATTGTGGGATAATGTCTGTCATTTTGGTTTTTAAATTGTATCCGTCCTGTTTATTTCAGGGTTGAATTAATTATGTGAAAGTTCTAATTTAAAAGAAGCGTCTCTTCGCCCTAAAAAGACTTTACTCACAACTACTAAAGTTTTCTTTTGTATTTAGCGTGTGACCAATCCCCACAGGGCACACAGGCAGCCTCCTGACATGGCAGCTGAAACCACAGCGTACTCCTAGTGCTCCAAGCTGGAATATGGTATCTGCTGAAAGTAGCTGATATTGATCAGAAACATCTGCCACTGTGGCCTATTCTCAAGAAATATTGACAAGATAAGACATCTATTGATAGCAAATATGGATCATCATATTTGATGATGGGTTATAAAAGCAGGTTTACTGTCTGAGGGAAGAAGCTTCATAAATCGGAGCGGAAGCAACCTACCTGCAGCTTGGTGTAAGAGGCGTTGACCAGTCCATTTCTAAGAACAGAGTGCCAATTCTCTATATGGGATCCACTGGAGTAAACAGAAAAAAAAGGAAAAGACAAAGTATGAGCATAACAACTTGGATCTGTGTTTTACATAACAGTTGGACATGAATTGAACCCTTGTCTCATGTAAACAATCTTAAGAGTTAATTTGTTGTCAATTGTTGCTATGAAAAAAATTTGATTTAAAATTATCTGAATTAAACTGTGAAATGTGAAATGAATTAACTGAGCTGAATTAAATTTAAATCGTTATCTGATTGCAGAGGACTGGATTGATTATACATTACAATATAATTGGGTATTAATTGGACCTCTTTCTCTTGAAGATGGTATTTGCTGTGAATCTACTAAAAGTTAATGTATCTTAAATAATCTTAATTAAACAGACTTCAACTGAAACTAACACACATTTAATTTGATGGACTCAATCAAAGATAAGCTAAACTAATTTTTTTTTTCTATTGTAGTGTTTTTGTTCTAAATGTATTCTTTTTGTCTGTGTTTTTTTTAATGTGTTGATAATTTCCTTTTTGACCAGGCACTGAAGACAAACTATAAAGAAGTGTGAAGTGTTTTTTCATGTTTAGTGTTTGATTCAGTCTCAACTGTAATGCAATTTATACAAATTATGCAGGACTGTTCAAAAATGCAGGATAATCTTCAGCTATCATTTATTATTTATAAATTAGATTTTGAAATATGTATGACTACTGACTGGAAATCCCACCAAAGGTATTTAATTTCTCTTGTAAAGAGCCAAGATTGCTACATGGCTGCTGGACTTGAGAAAATTTATTTTTCCTGTCATAATTAAACTTATCATTTACCTTGGTTTGGCATGTCTTCTAAACTTTAAAAGCGAAGCTATTTCTGTTTTGCATAATTTCTGTTGAGTTGAAAATAGCGTGATGACACTCAGCTTCAATTAAATATTAGACATGTTTATTTGGAATTAATAAATCTAAAGCATTAACCAGCAGCAAAACGGAGAGTGTCAACACTGTGTGTGCTTTAGTGTGACACTGCCCAGATGGGTCGAGTGTATCTAAAATATTCAGCAGAGCCCCATCTGCTACAGGACAAATCTCTGTCTCGCTCACATAAATATCTTTGGCTCCATGTGCTGGCTTAGAAAGGTGTCCTCTCAGTCCAAAAGAACAGTCACTGCTTTGTCCTTTTGTTTGTAGTGGTTTCATTAAAATTACACTCAGGCATAGCCATTATAATTAGGGTGTCATGCTCTAATAATAAATTATAGTGGTTGTTGGGTAAATTATCCTGCTACATTTTCTCAAATATGTTGATGCTGGAGGTAGGTTTCAATGTAAAAAAATTACTTTGCATAACAAAAAAATAAGACATGTTTTCCCAGCGCTTTGTCAACAATTTGTATAGATAGTAAGAGGAACTTCCATCAACTAAGGTTAACTCACTGAAAGGCAAAAGTGCTGCCATAGAGCTTCTTGGCGGTGCGAAAGCGAGCCTCCTTGGCTGGGGGACTGCTGAGCAAAAGGAACTGGTGGGACGTGTGCATGAATTTCAGTTGCTGCAAAAATCCAATCAGAAACCAGAGAGAGAGAGAAAAAGTATGTTTAAAAAAGTATAATGAAAGTGTGTATTTGTTTCTGGAGACAAAAGGAATAATATTTTGAATTCATACCCTGCTGAGAGGCAGCTTGACAATATGGGACCTATTACTGGAGATGATCCTACAAAGAAACAGAATTTATAATAATAATAATAATAATAATAATAATAATAATAATAATAATAATAATAATAATAATAATAATAATAATAATAATAAAGCATGTTTTTCCTTTTACAATTTGTATTTTTATTAATTGCAGTAGTGTAGCAGTATGCGTGTGGATACGTGGGATATTTCCAGTTTAAAATGCTTTTTAAAGAATGAGGAGTGTAAACACATTTTTGGAATGGATTCTCACCATTGCAACAGTGGGTGGGCCAAAGGGTCCAGCTTGTCCATCTGTTTCTTGATCTCCAGATATGAACCCTGAAAACAACAGAGAAGCATCTGCTGTTTATGACCGTTTGCCAAGTAGTTGGAAAATGCTAATTATTATACAGACAAAAGGACTTTCTCTTGTTGATAGAAATTTGTCCCTCGTGCGTCCTTTTTATACCTGGGTCATTTCACGAATGGACATGACACTGTCCAGTGCCTTCTGCAGTCTTTCATAATTCTTCTTCTGTGTCCAGGTGAAAGCAAACAAATGCAGAGGAGAAGGAAAGAATTATTATGAAAAAAAAACAACTTTATAATCTTGTGACAGTAGTTTATCAGATAAAGCAGACTGCACATTTCTTAAATTAATTCTCAAATTACTTGGAATAATGCATTAAGTAGTGGGAATGCAAACCTTTGGGTTGAATGCAAGAGTTTTGGGATCATTTGGATCCACAACTGATGGGTAGGGCTCAAAAATAATGCTCTTGCGTGGGGACTCAAGTGCAGCTCTACACATAGCCACAAGCAGGTCCACAACCTGGTAAGAGTTGGAAAAGGTTAATACCAATTAGTTCGATATCTCTCAGTATACATAACAATAAAAGTACAACTAATTAGGGGAAAATCTCATAATGGCCAAAATAAGTTTGTTGAGACTTTTTTTCTAAATAAATATCTAGATGTTACCTCATATAAATTTTTGTTGTTACCTCTGCTCCTGTTGCCACTTCTTCTGCAGCACCAGACATCACACCCAGAGTGTAGAAGGAGAACACACACAACTCTCTGGTACACACAGCAGGCTGCATAGATACAGTAAAAATGATAAAAAAACACATAAAACTGATAGACTAAAACATAATTAACATGCTCTTCTCTCAGTTACTTGGAAAAGAAAAATAAATGTATCGAATAATATGCATAGATAGATTTTGTTGATGGATTGTGTACTTCAAATATGTAGAAAATAAGAAACCAAATCAAATATTAATGGAGTTTGTCTCTTTTCTTGATACCTTCAGCATTGACCCATTCTGAAAGACATGCTGTTCGTCACAAACCACGCAGTACTCATTAAGAGTGGGGATCCTTTGCTCTGAGTACTTCATTATCTGTTACAAGAAAAAGCATAATGCAGTTGCCAATTATAACTCACACCTGCAGCACTGATGTTTACAAGAATAAAAAAGCTGTGCAGACAGAAAGAATGAATTCGGAAGCACAATTTGTCACTGCAACTTTATGTGGCTTAATCTGCAATAGGGCTTTAGAAATAGACCAAAGTGAGACATCAGATTTGTGGTCCTCTACATACAGTGCACTGCTTTTAACCCACTTATATAATCACTGCCAACCAGATTTGTTGTGAAAGATTTTAAAATGTCAATGCACAATCAAAAACGTCAAAGGGAAAGAAACATTGACTCATGCACATTTCTTGTGAAGAAAATTTCAAATTTCAAATTATGGTTGTATGGCAGCTAAAACAAATTAAATTCATAATACTGCTACAGAATGTTTGAAGACAGAAACTGCAGCATTTAAACCATAATTATCTGTGTTATTTTCGCTAAATCTGTCCCTTTTCAGAGAATCATAAGAAGTGTGTCAGACTGAGCTACAGAGTTTTCAGATCATCAGCATTTTGTCTCCTCATGAACAATTAAATCAGTGTGCAAAAAACTTTCAAATTAATTTTTGTGGTTAGGTCATGAGACTTCAGTTAACATACTTATGTTTAAAAGCTACATGAGCCATTTTTAGACACGTCAGCCTCATTTTCAGGGAAAATGTTGCAGCTCTTTTGCACAAAATGTTCAGAGTTTGTCCTTGAATAACACAGTATAATGCAATGTTGAATAAAGCACTGCTAAATGATGTCAGGATGAGATCCAACCACTTCAAGCCCACTGTGCAAAAACAGCTTCACTATTTCAAAGTTCTCAAAAAGTGAACTCCACTTATGTTGGCAACATTATGACACAACTTTTCCTGCAAGGAAAGCTGCATCATTTTACTGGTTGGTATTCATCAGTAGGAGTTGATTGGAAGATAGATGGAGCTAGATGCAGAATAATACTGTAATAAAATCTCATAGAGATTTAAAAGCTGAAGGTGTGGCTCTGTTTCACCTTTCAGCAACACAATCGTAAACATAAGGCCAGAGATACAACCAAATGTTTTCAAATCCTTTTTCAAATTGATCAATCAAAAGTAAGACCTAACAATAATCTAACTCATTATTAACAGTAAAAGTGAGACTTGAAATGTTCTTTTCACAGACACTCCTCATTCAGTCTTAATGAGCCTAAGCTATTTTGCAAAGTCAAAAATTCAGTCTTCTGTTGTGCAAAGCTTTTAGAGACAAACGATAAAAGACTTTGTAATGATGACAATAGGTGGTTGTACAAGGTACTAACTTAGGGGGAGCCAATACATATGCCACACTTTTAAGATCAAAAAGAAAACAATCAACCTTCTTTGTTTCTAAATAACAATTATTTAATATCTCATATTGGTCTCTCAGATAAAATCAAACAATTATACTGTCCGCATTATTTAGCTGAAAACTCATCTTGGGTTAGAGACTGAACAAGCCCCACAAGCTTGTGTCCAAAACAATGCATTATAACTGAAACAGCGAGTACAAATGTTTTTGACTGTGATGATACATTTTCTTAGGATCTAACCTGCACTAAGAAGCCATACTCCAAAGTAGGGATGTTCTTGCAGTGGCCGCCCGCCTGGGATGAAAAAAACAATTCAATCAGCTGCCTCGTGGTAATCTGCGCTGGGGCCCTGGCCGCCGGGACAGCTACAGTCTGATGGGTCAAGTGAAGACAAAGCATTATGGGAAAGGGCACACAGCTATGTTTTGGTAAGAGTGGGGGAAAGGCTCAGGTGAAACAATACAGGTGACAGGTGGACGAAGACAAGGGTGTAGTTTAAACTGAAAAGAATAAATGGAGCAATAACACGACACAGTAAAACTTAAATTAACTGAAAGTAAATTTCACAATAACAGAAGTCTGGGAGGTGAAAGGACCAAAATGACCCTAACCTGGCTGTTTGGTGGATAGCTAAAGAGTTCCCCTTTAGGGTTCTTCATTGTACAGGAGATAGAGCGGTTCATCAGGCGGGTCACTCTCAGCTCTGGGACACTCAGCTTTCCTTTTAGAACTGTGTCTTGGATCAGAGGGAAACTTGGAGACCTGAAAAGATTATTAGAATCTTTTAATATTAGATTATTAAAAGATTATTTAGACTAAACCATCCAGGTTATGGTTTAGTCTAAATGCTATATGAGTCTTAGACACACATTAAGTGACAATATCAGACTTATTTTACTTATTAATTCAATTCAATAAGTTAAATTTATATTATACAGAATAACTACAGATGGAGTGATAGTTCAAGTATCTATTTTGTTCTATCCTCTACAAGTAACTTCAATGGAAAACGAACAGTCATATTTGATACATTAGAATACTGTTAAAAATGTATTTGAGTATAATTCAATCCACTACATTATATTTACTTTTATTTAGTCTACCTGAACACTTCCTTTTAAAATATTAAATTGTATTTTATGATCAGCGACTCAGTATTTGAGAAGCCTTTTTACCAAATATTGTTTTTATATTAATTAGTCTTATGAGTAATTTTTTGGATGGATACTTTTTACTTTTACTTGAGTAAATATGTGCAACATATTACTTTGTGTGTAGTGAAGCTATACAATAGACTGGATTAAATTTTTATATTAAATCACTGAAATACAATCACTTTGTGATGATATTCTAAGGTGTACTAGAAGGGTTTAGACTCAGAGCAGAAAGTTTGAAAGTACTTGACTTTTCCTATAAAATAATTCAACTATGTTCTTTGGTCTGTTTCTGGGGGCATGTTTCTGTTCTTGTCTCTCAGTCTACACTAAAAGTAGACACAAGACAGCCAACTGAAATCGGTTTGGACAGTAACTCCAGTTACTAACTGTTAGATACAAGGGCCAGTGTTAATTTCTGCCATTACTTTCAGTACATTATCCAAGTAGCCCTTTGACAAGACTACTATCAAGTCATTAGAATGTCAGGGCAGTCAAGTTAGTGGAGTTGGCCAATCAGTCAGTATTCAATCCCTGTGCACTCATACCTGTCAAACCTAGAGAGGGAGTGAGAGGAGAGCTTCTTTCCCTCAGGAACTTTTGTCAGTTTTTGAATTTAAGTCGGGGTTCAAGATGCTGTGTTGACTTTTTTTTCCCCCTCTTGTCATATTTGCTACAGTTAGTTGTTAAACTGGCTGTTTTTGACTGGGAGTGATGCATTGTTCCAGACAACAATAGTAGCTCAATGAGAGAGGAGCTCAATTTTTTCACAGATTATCTGTCACAGCACAGTGACGGTTTTAACAAATATGTAAAAAATATATTTATTTTATAGAAGTTATATTGCATATTTGTGGTGATCGAATTTTAAAACTTTAGAGAATTTTTACATGATCAGATAAAAATTTTAAAAAAAGAGAACATTTGTTCAGAAGCTTAGTTGTTCTTTGCTTTGTCAGATGATTAATAGCTCTACCTACTTGGGAATTGGGGAGAAAATGCTGAGCCCAGCACGGAATTTCTTAATGGTCCCTCCAGCTTTGAACCAGCTGTGCCTCTTTTCCTGTTGGGCCTTGAGGAACTCATTGCTGAGGTGCTTCCACTGCTGTGAGGTGAATGTGCTCAGGATCCTGCCACATTAAAAACATGACTAGAGTGAATCTGTGCTGTGCTGAATCATACGTCTAATGTAAGCTGTAAAGGAAAATCACTTTTAAATAAATCACATTCTTAATCATTCATAAGATTTAACTTATTTGCATTTTGTCATTTTGCAACCATAATCTTACATGTAGGCATTTGTTTAAAGCATTAGTGAACAAACACCATCATAAAGTCTATTGAAATACCACATAGGTCATGGATAAATTTGTAAAGAAGATTAAAGCAGCGTAAATACTTAAAACATAAATACTTTCACAGATAAATTATAAATGATCGCCTCACTTACTTTTTGAGTTGCAGACCCAGACTGAAGCCTTCTTTATTCGAAGGCTGAAATACATCTACTGACGGCTCTGAATAAATAAAGATGACTAATATCATTACAGAGTCGACAGAAAGACACTCAAGTTATTTTTTTTTTTTCAGTCTCCCACGTGTGTGACACATGTTGTACTCACTTCCCACACTCAGTGAGGGGCATAAATACCTAAAGTCCCTTCTAGAAAACCAACACACACACATTGTGTATTTACTCACCGGGTCCATCAAGGTACTGAGAAAGAGAAAAGCGCAGTCTCAGAATAATGGGCTCTGTTCTTATAACTTTCCAGGCTGTTGCAACCTCCTCCTGAATCAGGCACACACACGCACACACACACACACACACAAATACACGCAGTTAGCAGCCTAATTAGGGCCATTTCTCAATGCATAAATATCTTATGAGCACCAGATGCATTATAAATGATGTGTTACTTTGCAAAATGTCAACGTTAGAATAGTAATGGGAAAAGTCGGAAGAGGTGTTTGCAGTGAGAAGAGTGCTGACTCACATCTAAGAAGCCGATGTTAATATGAAGATCGATGTCCACATCGTCAATGGTTCCGTACTCCCTGCGCAGAGATGCAGCAACAGATACAGTAAACTGTCAAAACTAATGTGAATCATTGGACTCTGACCATTTCTACTGATTACACTCAGTGAGAGATTAATTAAGGGGATGCTCTCCTTTCTTATTTAGCTTAAAAATCAAGAGGGAAATTTGATTTCATTACAGCTAGTGTAAGATTTTCAGGGCATGATTCTGTCCTGTACCTGACAGAGATGGCACTGTCGGTGTAGATGTCTTTCACAGCTTCAATATCTGCATCTAGTTGAGGGTGGCGGTACAGGTCAGCAGCACAGCTCCCCTGCAACAAGCAGCACTGGTCACAGTTATAGCAGTGAATGAATTCTCAATGGTTACCAACTATTTTCACACACACATTTCACAGTACCAGCACTATTTCTACCCCTTCAGCTTTTTCACATTTTCTTGAACTGCATCATGCCTCATGCTTCTGCCAATGTCCTGTTTGCACTTGGGTTCCCATCATCCATAAAACGTACATGGATAGAGCAATATGCCGTACAATCCTGGAAAAAATCTTTTTAGAGGCTGCTAAAGACATAAGGTTGATGTGGGTGTTAATGTTTTAGCAGGTTAACAACCCTAAGTATACAGAATAGTTTGGATCAAAGGACATTTATCTGTTAAAGAGGCCATTGTAGAATACGCCTCAGATGAGAGAAATGTTGAAAGACTTGGGAATTGCTGTTCAAATATTTCACATTCAACCTGACTGAGTTTGATCTACTTTACAAAAATTAAAAAACAAGTCAGGTCTTAAATGTGCAAAGCTGGTAAATTATGCAGTTGTAATTACATTAAAAATATTGTTCCACAAATATCAAATCTGAGGACTGAATGCAAGTGCACATCATACAAAAAGTAGAAAATAATGTGTTAATGGTATATTAATTTAACTTGCTCTATCACATAAAATCCAAATAATATATATGGAAAATACATCGGTTATTATCCTGTTTTTATTTCTGATAATGATTATAATTGAACAAAATGATGAAAAGTTGAAGGGATAAAAATACCTTTGAAAACAATGTAGATTCAAACACCCATCAAGATCCAGATTGCTTATTTGACGTAAAACTGAATATTATAGCTCACATTACAGACTTAAATTACAGAACACAGACTGCATGCATTACTTTAAATATGTTTTTGAATTTTAATTACATGAGGAAGTTTCTCAATACTGATTTCTGGACTTCTTTCAAAGTATTTAGATAAGTCATTTTTATTACTTCTGTCATCACTAGAAGATTTGGTTCTTGATCATTTTCTGGTATAAAAAGTCTGTCATGCTTGTGTCTGGTGTCTTGAAGTGAAACTTTCATCTTCTGAGTTCAGTGTGCAGTACAGTTCCATCCTTATCATAGCTGCACTGCTTTCATGTACTTTGACTTCACTGAAATGAGCTTTACTGGATTTACATTTCAATCAAAAGACTTGGAAGATAACAGTAAAAAAGAGACAACTCAGATTAAGATCTTAGGTGGAAGAAGAGCTATCAACTTCATAAGATAAAGATGATGAATTTCCTGATGGTTTTGGAGATTAATTTGCTAGTGTCTAAGATATGCTGCAAATACTAGATTTTGCACTCATTTATTTTTAAACAGTATATAAAGTTTCAGATATCAAGCAGCATGTTGGAGGCTATTTAAAATTTTCTCCCTGCTCAGTGGAACTTTATGATGGAAATATTTATTATATTTACATTTAAAGTAAATATTTAAAGAGGCAGCTTACCCCACTTAACACTTCTAAAATAACAGTAACAAAAAGTAGTTCTGTGTACTTGCTAAACAATGAATGCAATTGTTGCTAACTAATAAAAATATGGAACCTTTTTTTCCAAATAACATGGAGAATTTACATTCATCTGAATATATAACTTTCGAGCTCTGAGCGATAATCCAGGCCAAACACTTCTGGCCTTTTCTTTCGTTCAGGAGTGATTTAAAACAGTAATGAGCTTGTGGTTCCTGAAGTCCTGACTCCATATCTAGTCCATACCTAATCAATCTTTGTTATTATCCCTGTTGCTTATGTACACCATATTTTTTCTTCCACTAAATTTGACATGCTGCAATGGAGAATACTTCTTTGAATAACTAACGGCTTTAAGAATGAATATTGGTGGCTTGCCCACCTGGTGGAAGGTCTCAATAATAATTCAGCAGCCTTCCTCTTGATTGTGTAGGGCATATCATTTTTTTTCTCCTCATGTAAAATTAAGGTTTTCTGGAAACTGAGTTTACTAGGGTTTTTCAGCTTCAATCCATAATAATCAAAAACAACAGAAAATACATGTGACACATATTACTGTGTGCAATTGATTTAGAAAGCATATGAATTTCACCTTTGAAAAGAATTGCTGAAATAATTTAATTTCATGATGGTATTCTGATTTACAGAGCTGCAGTAGTTTTAAATTAAAATAATTTTCTTTTTTCTGCCAACATATAACGCTAAGATTTCTTAGTTCATATGAGGTGGAAATACACTTATTTACGAAATAAACACCATTATTGTCTTTCTTTTGATTTAATGAAGATTTTTTTCTCAGCTTTCTTTAGGACATAGACTGCTTTTTATACATAGAGCTAAAGTGCCAATATCTTGTTTTAACATCTATTCTTTGCAAAATTCTGTATAATAAGCACTTAAAACAACTAGAATTAGTGTTTTATTCTGTATCTTTTCTTAGGTTGTGTATCAAAAACAATAAGAACTAATATAATAGATAACATTAAAACCTGTGACATTCATACCAATTATAATAATACTTGTATGCAACCATATACAACATGAAGCTGTTCAAATCAATACTTCCTTTTATGTAAGCAGCAGCAAGAGTCATTTTGGTGTTCTTTATAAAAGCTGTCAGGCCACGTTATGCATTTTCTTGGTGCAAGTACAGAGAAAGTATTATATTTGGCTCAAAGTGTTTAACTTGGGAGAATCTCATATAGGCCCAGAACTAAACTAAAGAAACAGTCCTTTTTTTTGTTTTTTGTTTTACATAATCAGGGACAAAGACTGAATGAAAATGGATAATGAAGCCAAATTTCAAAGAACAACTTTGAAAGGCCAACAGAAAGCCTGGTAAATGACTGATCAACACTAATTTCAAACATATAGATAACTGGCTCAAGTTGGCACAAAGAATAGTCAAATTTTGAGGTAATTGAAATTTTTACTTCAATGTCATTTCAAAATTACATTAAATACATAGCAATGGCAGAAATTTAATGAAAAAACAAAATGTGTAACATCTTAGCAAAACTATGTTAACAGTGAAGTAATAATGCCTTCTCTACCTGGATTCCATAAAGGAACTGTTCAGATTCGTTCTCCCCATCTGACTCCTCGTCGGTCCAACACTGGCCTTTGATGTCCTGTGGGCCCAGGCATTGTCAAAACACCATTATAGCAGAGGAAAGAAAATACAGCCTTTTCGTAGCATACTTTCATCTCCCTATTTAGCCTCCCATTCAAGGGCTTCAAACAAGGCTTTACACCATGTTCCAAATTATTATGCAAATTGCATTTAAGTGTCATAAAGATGAAATTTTTTGTTGTGCTATTAAATTTATAGATGGTATTGTGTATCTGGGGTCTTTGAATCACTATAATTAATTTCAGTGACCTGAGTTGATTAGTTTGTCTGGTGAGCTTAATTAAAGGAAATCAACTCAAGAAGGATGTTCCACATTAGTAAGCAGGCCACAGGTTTCAAGCAATATTTGGAAAGAGAAAGGATCTCTCTGCTGACGAAAATCATCAGATAGTGTAGTGCCGTATGACAAGGTATAAAAACATTAGGTATTTAACAAAAACTGAAGAGTTGTCATACTAAGAAGAGATTTGTGGCTGATTCAGAACAAAGATGGGTTTGTACAGATAAAGGAATAATGAGAAAGGATTCTATTAGACAAATTCATCAGATTAAGAGAGCAGCTGCTAAATGCCCTTACAAAGCAGCAAACAGTTATTTGAAGCTACTGGATCTTCCTTAAGGTGGAGGATCCAGAGGCAATTAAACTGACCATTATTTGCATTGACCATTTAAGAAAGACTGTAAAAATATCACTTGCATAATAATTTGGAACACAGTGTATATAGCATCTCAAAGAAGAAACACAGAACATCCTCTGACATCTTCCTTCATAAGATCACCTAACTGAGAATGACAAGGACGACTTTTAAAATATAAAAAAAAGACATGTCAAAGCATGACAGTTTCAGCTCAACAGACGAGGACATGTATTTTTAAATAAAGCTAAAATAATCTGAATGCCAAAAAAATATCAGTCATTCTACATGCAACCCTGGAAGATTATTAAATTTCCTTCCCAATTATCTAAATCTTAAATAAAGCGACAATTATGTGACACACTTTTATCAAACTCACTGATTACACACACGAATAGGATCTCAGCTGTCTTACCATTGGATCGGCTGTTCATAGGGCTCTCTCAGACAGGTTTAGGCCTTTGATTAGTGCCAACCATTGCAGCCTACCTCCAGGTGAAATGAGCAAGAGCACAAAAAAATGAAGAGCTTTGTGTGACGTCTGTTCCTTTTTACACCCCTCTAAATTCCACAGCCTTGGAAAAACTGAAAAAAATACAAGAAAATTAGCAGAGGAAGAAGACATGCAACACAGGCTACTGCTAGTGATGCCATTCTTAGTCAACGATGCTCTCCTCCTTTTTTTGTTTAAATCGCCTGCACTTCACCTTGCCATGTATCCTAGCAACAACCATCTCTGCCTCCTGTCAGAGTGGCATTAATCACTGTTGAGAGAAAGTGTGTGGGAGATTTGTGCTGTACGTTCAGTACCCTAGATGTCTTCACTTCTTTGTTTAGATGTTTGTTTGTTTTTTTTCCAGGATTCTAGTCTATTAATACCAAAGAACAAGAGGTTACTGTATTTTTTTTTCTTTTTTCTTTAGAAGTGCAATAGAAAGACAGCACTGATGTAACCACAAAACCCATGGCACAATAAAACCCATTGTTTCTACTGCTTGTTGGCATGAATATCTGTCAATGAATGCTCATAAAATATTAACATTTCTACATGTTTTTGTAAACAAAATCAATGATATGCAAAGTATCAAAAACACGTTGTCTATTGAGAATGGGCAATATGTGCATTGGTTAATATAATGTTATTTACTGAATAATTATTTGTTATCTGTTAATAACAACAGATTCTAATTTATAATATGTGGAAACTACAAAAAAAAAAACTAGGGTTGTAATTTTTCTTGCTTTTGAACTATATTCTTCCATAAGTTTATCAAGAAATTCTGCATTTACACTTCAAAATATGACTAAATACAACTTACTGGTACTGTTTATCAGGGAGTGATCCAAATTGAACTATTCAACAAAAGGTGAGGTTTTACTTTTAGAAGAGCATTTGCTTTTGAGGGCCCATGACAGTGATGAATTAAAGCTACATTAATTGTCACTATTTTTTAAATTGCAATAAATACCATTAAATATTGTGATAAAGTTTTAAGTCCATATGCCAATATACAAATGAAAAGTTCATCTAAGCAATGAATAGCTTTAATGCTGCAAATAATAAGCATCACGCAGGGGGGGGCATTAGCCCAGGACCCTGAAGGTTCAGTCCCTCGAATACATATATACTTTAATAAATGGCTGTTTTGCAAAAAACATATTTTATGAGGTGCCAAAAAACAAGAATAAATGTTTTGGATAGGTGGATTTTTGTGCAGTTCGCTGCTTGAACTATTAAAAAAATGTGGCTAAGGAAATCAACCAATCCTTAGCCCCAAGAATATTAAAAAAATAAATAAATAAAAAATAAAAAATAACCTCTACCAGCTCCTGGCCAATTTGTTTACCTTCACATTGTTGTAATGAACTATTTTAATCAAATATAGAGGTAATTGTATTTTCTGGAAAGTTGGCACTAAACCAATTGATTATTTTATTTTGGGTCTGATCCATGTTTTCACCAATTGAATTAACTACAGTATGAGAAATTCTGACTCTTTATCAAGCCAATGGCGGATATTATTTACCTAAGTTGTTCAGTAACATACCTATACAGTAGATTATGATTAGAACGTAGAAAATGACTTTAAAATGTTGGTTGCAAATGCAAGTGAGAAATGCCTCTTTGTCAGCTATGCACTGATGCATGATTAAAACAAAATAACCCAAGGCAGACTGTTCCACTGTGTACCCAAATAAGATGGGTACTAAACAACCAAGAGCATAAAGTGACAAAGGTGTAAGCACATGCTGCAATTCTAAAGGATGCTTGTTTATATAGAGAGGAATTGTGTAGAAACTATGAATAAATATTTAATTTCAGAAATACTTTATATTTATGTAAACAAGCCCCATAAGGCTTGAAGTTGATGTCTACCTATTTATCAGTCTACTGCAATTTAGATATCTTTGTGGGAATAGCACCAAAACTGTCTCTATCCATCTAAATCAACCATGGAGCATCACAACACACATTTCAGTTCATTAAATGTAAGGCACAACAAATCGGTATAACAAAGGCTGTACAGAAACACAGATTTGCACTGCAGATGATGCTGTTGACATCACAGAAAAACAACAAAGCTATCCATATTTAGCTTAATGACAGTCAAGAAGGTGAATTTTTCTCCTCCTTAATATTTCACTGACCAAAAAAGAGCTTTAATGCTCTTGCTTTGATATATCGCACTAATCTGATCTTTTCTTTCTAACCCGGCAGAACCCTGCTCATCTCCATTCTCAGCTCCTTTCCGTTTTCTACGTCCTTAAGCCCGCTCCTCGCATTTACATCTCGATCCCACTCACCCCCTCACTCCCTGCCATTTCCTTGGCCTCTGTCGTCTCACATACCAATAGAGTCACAGAAAAAAATGAGTCCACCCACCATCTGACAGTGCGCACGTACAAAAAGATACACACACGTATTCACCTCGATCGTTCCACCATTCCTCCTTCTCTTTAGACAGCAGTTTAGCCCAAACACAGATGCGCTCAGGCGGATTGCCCCCCTCCCCCTACGCTTCGGACTCCCCTCACATCCATCCACACTTACCTCCACAGAGAATGGAGACTGGGATGCTGTCCTTGCCTCAGATGCTTCTTTCCTCTTAAAGGGCGCACCTGCTTCTCTCTGTGTGTCTCTCTATCTCTCCCTCTGTCAGTGGCCGTTTTCCACTGAAATGACAGATGACAAAAGAACCATAAAAAAAACACAAGAACGCAGCAATTCTGGACTGTGTTCTTAGATGCGTGCTGTGCGTGTCTGCAAGCGCGCCAGCTGGTGCGTGTGCAAGTGTTTATCTATTGCAGATCTCTCCTACTGCTCTCTTATATTTTGCCTAACAACACTAACGGGGGTCTGGGCATGCTCAGTGAGACTAGGCAAGACAGTCATGTGACTTGCAGCTGACTGCACTGCTGTTGAGAAATTGAAGAGAAAAAATGTGTGTTATCTGTATGTGCTTCTGATGTTGAATCTGTGTGGTGTGTGAGTAATGTGTGAAGTTTCATAAATCCAAATCTACTAAAGCTAACTGGTGCCCTGGCTGCAGATTTGAGTTGCTATGTATAATGTTGAGTAGATCCATGGGTACTCAGTGGAGTAAAAAGCTTTAAAATGAATTAATCTTCAATAAAAAAAAGCATACACTCACAACAAATACTTTCAAAATTCCTCCTTTAGCTTGTTCTCATTTATTTAGTTCTGGAATCTTCTTCATCATCAGACTTAGACTTAGACTTGACTTTATTGATCCCTTGGGAAGACTCCCTCAGGAAATTATAGATTCGTTGATGCATCTGCTTTCTATACTTTTCAGCCCCCCACTGACCATTACCTTGCACCTCGAGAACATTGCACAAGGTTGGGCCAAACTAAAAATTTATTTTTCACCTGTCCTCTATACTCAAATTCCTCTCGATCTTCAAGAGTCCCTTAAATTCTGTTTTTCTTGACCTCACGCTACAGTTTTTTTTCGACGGTATAGGGCTGAGATGGACCATGTGGATGCCTATCCAGTTAAGACATGGGGTTGGCTTGCACTGCCGACTATTAATTGTACCTTAAACTCCACTTCAAGTCAATGTAGATGGGCCACCATACACTACATGCACTTTTAAAAAAAACATGGCAACACACCGCACTAAATAAAGATTTGCAGCTTTTAATTCACCACAATGTTTAATAAAATCTTTTTTTTATTTTATTTTATTTATTACAGGAAGCTCTTTAAACAAGAAGCTCTTTAAACCAACTTGGTTCTATGTAAAAAAAATAATTTGAAAAAATGTTCCTTGGAACTAACCACTTCTTGTATCCCCATGGCTTGTGAAAAGCTTTTGTGAAAACTGAATACTTTTACATCAGTATGGAGTAATTTTGTTCCAGTATTTTGAGCAAAAAATGTTTTCATTCATAAAGGAAATAAGAAATAAATGGGAACAAAATGAGAAACAGAAGGTAATTCTTTACTACTTAGAAGTTGCTAGAAAACCTGATGCACTTAAAAACTCAGTATAAATTCTGACAAATGCCTCAGTTACTTTTTTAAGGTATTATTAAGCTACAAATAATTACCCTCTGATATTTTTGTACAAATCATCTATTTCTAATTTTCTCCAGATGAACAAAATATTTTCATGGCTCTGTCAAATACATGGACATTCACAGTTAAATCTCTGAGAATTAGAAACCACCATAAAAAATTATAGTGACTGCAGGAATACTAGAAATGCTACGTTTCACAAGAAATATTTTTATTAAATGGAAAATAATATTCCAATCTGAAAACACAGATGGAGAGAAAATACAAATATTAATCCAAATGATCAAGTCTCTAATATTTTCATATAATTAGTTGTGTTGTTCAAAATACAAGGACATGATCCCAAACTCATCTGAAATTAAGATATCCACTACTTAAAAGAAGACACCCTTAAGGCTGTTGGGATATTATTATCAGTCCCTCTGCTCACAAATATTGAAAAACCTGTGGATGGTCCTGCCTGGGTATACAAGCACAAAGACTCATAAAACACTAGTACCAAACATTTCACAGAAAGGTTATGCTTAATAAAACTTGCCTCACATTACAATGAGCCATACCATTAAGTTGTCATTTCAAACTGTAAAAGCTACCATAACAAGTAAAGCTAACTTTAAGTTAACTGTTGTAAATTAGCTTTCTCGCATTCCACAGCACAAGGCATTTCTGACCATTTTTGCCTGCACAAAACAACATGGTTCTTCACAGGCAGTCTATATCCAGACTTCAGCACTCCTCTGTTTGCACCTTTCAATCTCCTTCTTGCTCTTCAGAAGCTGCCTTTCATATTTATGTGAGTCAGATCGCTTTGTTTGTCCAGGCCCGACTTCTACTTCCACAACTTCACGGCTAAGTGCACAGCTCCAATCAGGCTGATGACCCACCACCAGGTCCAGAGTGGGTAGAGAGGTAGTGCTGGTCACATCCCTAAATCCAAAAGAAGATGTGAGTGAAGGGCTATCAGGTGGAAAACGTTTATATCCACCCTGGATACCTGGACAGCCACCCCAAGACTTTTTCTCTCTTAATCTCAATGCATGACGAATCTTTTTCCAACCCAAATGATTTAACTCCAGGAGGTTCAGCAAAATGCAGAAAACTCCTACACAGAACATAAAGAGGAGGAAGATGGTCTTCTCTGTGGGTCTGGATATGTAGCAGTCCACTGGTTGCCTGCATGGGGAAGAAGTGCAAAGAAATTGTACAGGTACATGGAAGCCATATAGCTTCCACTGGGCCAAGACAAAGCCAATCTCCAAGACAGCCCTCAGACAAACATGGAAAATGTAACATTTGGACAGAACTCCACCAGAAATAACTTGAGCTACCTCAATGCCCTCTCTGAAGGTGCAGGTTTGGGGATGGATCAAGTTCACAGAATTGTTTAGGTCCTTTTTCTGAATGTTCTGGGTAGTGAGGTCCTCCAGCACATCTCCCAGGCTGTGACCGAGATGTTTATGGGAATAGATTGAGCAATTGTCCGAGTCACAGCTGCAGTCGAAGGTCTCTTCTCTTTTCTCTTGCTTTACATCATTGGCTTTATGCCTTGGTCGTTTTCCCAGCATCTGAGAGCTATTCTGTGGTTGCTTGGACAGGTTATGCCATGTGTAAATGATAAAGCAAAGCGACGGAGTGGATACACTGATTATGTGAAACACCCAGAACCGAGGCTGTGAGATGGGTGCAAATGTGTCATAGCACACAGTTGAACATCCTGGCTGTAAAGTGTTACAAACAAACATTTCTTGTTCATCCGTATACACATCCTCTGTAGCAACAGCAACAATGAGCAGCCTGAAGATAACCATGACTGTGAGCCATAGGCGTCCGATCATAGTGGAGTGATGATGGACAGCATCCAGGAGACGTTTGAGCAAAGTCCACTCTGTCATGATTCCTGTGGCTGCTAGTTGCTTTGGTAAAGGAAGAGCTCCCAGGGATAGAGCAGTCTAAATTAAAATATTCCACCTCTCGTTTAGAGTTGCTGATAATGTAAAATTCCTGGTAGAGGAATTTCTTTCCCTGCTGGTCCACCTAATCTATTGGAGTTTTTCTTTTTTGTTGATCTCTTTACCTTTTGTTGTTTCTAGAAAAGACATCTGTTTAGTCCTTGATTAGTTCCTCTAACCTCAAGCACCTCCTGTCCGGAGAAAGCCTCTTCTGTCCCCTAATGTTTGCCAGCCCTCCTGGCTGCCCTGTGCACAGTGGAGCCTCTGTATTAGAACCACCCATCTTTCATAGATAAGAAATTCCACTTGACATGAGTCACTTGGCACACTCACATCTCCCTTGTAGTGAGGATCCATTTTAAAACCAAGCGACATCCCCCGTTCCTTTCTAAGAGCAGCTACTGATAATGCTGTAACAGAGCATTCTTTACTGATTAGTTCTCTAAACGCAAAGGCTCTTATAACATTGATGTACATTCCAAATAACCATGTATGCTGTCAGATTCAATCTGCACAATTTATAGCATAGGTATTCACTTGTAAGACAATTTAAAGGCAAGAATCGTAAATAATATGTTTCCACTATTGAGGGGAAATAAATTGGCTGATTAAAAAATGCTCTCACGGGAGATAGTGTTGGTGTCTGGTAGGCTTTTCTGTTTAAGAGGTTTCAATCCACTTGCCAGTCCTGCTATCTGTGTTTTAAAAAAAGTCAACTGAAAGGTCTGCTTGGCTAAATATGCGTCAAGATAAAAACACTCAGGCAAGCTGTATCAATGTCTCAAGACTAAGTTTGTGTTGTGCTTTTTATGTGAATAAAATAATTTATGTCTATTGTCTTGCAGCTGATTTGAGATTGTGTCACAGGAGTGATAGGCCCAAAAGAGAGCCACCACCATCTCTCTCCCTATTGACATCCTCCAGCTCATTCTGGCAGATTTCATGCCCAGACTAGATGGGATACATAATTTCTCCAGCGAGTTCTGGGTCTTTCTGAAAGTTTTTTTCCAGTGGGACATGCCCAGAAAACCTCCAAATTAAGAAACCCCTGGGGCCTCCAAATCACATGTACGAACTACCTCAACTGACTCTTTTCGATTTGGAAAAGTAGTAGCTGCACATAGAGCATACCCTAGAAGAGGGAGGACCTGATTCTATCTCTTATGCTGAGTCAAGCCACCATGCCAAAGAAGTACGTTTTCGACTTTAGGTGAGCATCGAACCATGAGTGGACAGGTAAATCAAGAGCTTTGCTTTTTTGCTCAGCTCTTACCCACCACAGTGCTGTGCAACCATTAATGCAGATGAAGTCCTAATCATTTGCCATTCCATCCAACGATAGGTTGTAAAGAAAACACAAATACACTAAAATACACTTCACCTTTTTTCCATCATGGACCTTTTTTCTGTCATTACCTCAGACTAAAAAGAGCTGACTCTCATTCAGGCTGCTTCAAACGCAGAAGCAAACAATTTCAGCACACACTGGAAGTCGTGACCAGAAGAAGCCTAAATATCCATGCTATATGTAAAAAGAAAAGATGACACTAGAGTGTATGGTTCCCAAACCAGACACTCCAGTCTCCATGATTACACCTTAAGCTCCACTCCATAAACACCAGAAACAGAATGACTAACAAAGGGCAGCCATGACGGAGTCCAGTGCACATTGGGAAAAGTCTTGACTTTGTGCCGAGAATGCAGACACAGCTTTTGCTTTGGGAATAAATGGATTGGATAGCCTTTAAAAGCCACCCAGATACCCAATACATCCACAGCAACCCCCACAAAATACTTCAGGCATGCATTTACAATTGACAGTCAATTGCATGATGTTGTTAACTTTGCAGCAATTCAAAATACTACGCACGCACACAAACAGAGAAATGGACAACTCCCCTTTTTCAGAAATACACCTCCAGCGGGATCTGGATCAGTTTGAGCTGCCATCTTCAGGGGGCGACTAAGGTGTTGAAAAGACAGAGCAAACATACAAAAACATAGAAGCACTAATCTAGGTGTGCTTTTCTATTGAAGCAAAGAGTAAGTAGTAGCAGTACTTCTCTAGGAGCTTCATCTAGAACAGTGGTGCCCAAAGTCGTTCCTTGAGGGCCGGCATCCTGCATGTTTAGTAGTAACAACCTTTTCAGCATGTCAATGTTCTTCTTAGGCCTTCTAATGAGCCATCATTTGATTCAGGTGCATCAAATCAGGGAGAGAACTAACACATACAGGATTCCGCTCTGTACTGGTACTGACTTTGGACGCCACTGATCCATAAGATAAACACTGTTGTAAGCCCTGAGTAAGAAGGGCTGTACCCCAAAGAGCTATTTGTGTACATAGCAAAGTTAGTCACACCCACAGCTCTTTTAGTTGGAGTCAAGGACAGAGAGGTCAATAAGTACAGAAAGATAGCCAAGTGTATCATACTTATAAAGACAACATGAAGGTATTGGCAGCAATAGCTCTGTTATTGGTACCTTCAAGCAAGATGTCACAGCTAAGAAGAATGCCATCTCTGAATTATCTTTTATGAAGACATAAAACATAAATTATGGTCATCAATAATTGTAGATAAATCATAACTGACAACTAGTACTAGGAGAAAGTTGAGAAAAGCATGTTAACATACTAAATAACAAATATAATACTGCAAAATTCTCTTTCATAATATCCATGACTGTGTGGGTCACTGCGTGCCTGTGTGAAATGATGGTCACTGAGCTTCTGAGCTAATCAGTCTTTACCCTCATTGTCTCTAGGTATCTATTTATGAACTGACAGATTAATGAACAGGTGTTAGGCCAACTGTCCACTCAGTGTGTTTGACTGTATGATCAAATGTAATTGCTTGTCTGAAATGTACTTTTGAAAAATAAAAACACCTGTCAATAGAAACACACATATTTCATTATAAATAAGGCTGTCTAATTTTCATCTGAAGAAATTGATGTTTTCCAGGTTTAGCACAATGTGACTGTCAAAATAGCAACCTTTCCCTTAGTTTGCATTTAAGAAAATAAATAAAAAGTAGCAATACTTGTATATGTGATTTAGAATCTCATGAACAAAGGTTGCATCAACCTTCCAAACTACACAGGTGTTCTGGTTCTGGTCTGCTTTGGATCCCCAGAACCAAATATGGAGAAGCAGCATTCATGTTCTATGCATCACAGATATGGAACCAACTTCAAGAAAACTGCAAAACAGATCAAACACAGAATTCCTTTAAATCAAAGCTTAAAACTGAATTACCTAATCAAAATTAAACAGAAAAATCTTTAAAACATTTGTTTTCATGGGAACATATATTTACCTTTTTTTTTCTTTTTTAATAAAATATAAAATGTAATTATCCCTAAATAAAGGCTCACAGTTCAAAGTTAGACTGAAGACTTTCACTGTACAATTTGTATGGTCTGATTGGCTTTTCAACACATAAAGTTCACTCCACTGCCTAAGTGTATTAAATTATGATTTTATTTTTCCTTGAATGTTATTGTTCCTTTGCAATTTAACTTTACTTATTCATTTATCGTTGATAGCTCTTGTACAGTCAGACCATAATATATTTAGAAGCATTAGGTATCCTAACTGCTCAACAGATTTATCTGAGCAGATTCATAGAGTGTCTCACTGTATCCTGTAGCCCAGGCGTTAGCAACACTAAATGCTGATTGACAGGCCGGAGCTTCACCAGTGGACATACTGATTTTTTTTTTCCCTCACTTGTGAAGGTGTGTCCACTCCCTTCAACACTGTAGTGTTGTTCATACACTCAGAGGCTGTCAGCAGCCAGTTAGTTAACAACATGGGCAGCGGGAGTAGCAGCGCTACCAGTGCATCTGCTAACAGGTAGGAACTAAGCCAAATAGATGGAGAAGTCCTTTACTAAACTTTGTCAGTTTATCAGATATAAATTCACCATTTTATCAGCTTGAAGGTAAATGTGACATTTGCCAAGCACCGTTGCCTAGTAGTTTGAAATTGATTCAGCTGATTATTTTTCTAGATGGAATGGGTAGACATGTGGCAGAGATTTATTTGGAATAGCTGATTAAGAGGTAAGATAATTAAATACAATGGGAATAGCTCCACAAAAACTATTTTACACATATAAAAGAAATATGTATACTCTTTAATTTTGGTTTACAATTATAAATAAGTGATGATGAATTTGATATTAGCATTATTATGTTGTGCACAGATATATAATGTTTTCTGTTCAGCACAAAATATTTGATCAACTAAATTGACAAAGATTTAATGACTGACTGCAGCAAAAGATTCCACTTAAACTTAAACACAAAATCATAAGTGAAATCCCAGTCATGTCGTATAATTATCCATCGCTAGATGGCGACGCAGCACCACATTGAAGCAACCAGTAATTTACCCCCTTCAGCTCTTCGCTGAATGTAAATCAGAAGAGATGGCACTTATAGCTAACAATTAGTAAATATTTTTTTCCATGTTTTAGAAACTAAATGTAGGGGGGAAATGGTTAGAAAACTCCCAAACAGCTACATGATACTGAAGCATGTCAAGATTGGATGTCTGTTAATGGTTTTGTCTCCCACTATTAGTGCTTAATTACAAAAATTAAAGGGAAAAGGTCAGTAAAAGTATTGGATACCCATGTTGCATACTAATCCGTATGACACAGACCGACTGCCTTCCTGAATGCCTTCCTGAATGCGGTCACATGCTCTACTTTATGCTCTTGTGATGCTTTCACGCTTTCTCATTGGCTCTCTAACTTTACTTATCACTCCTATCATGTATTGGCATATCCTTCCGCCACGTTCCTTGCGTTTTATAAATACCCATCTTACCATCAGAGTCAGTATTTACATAAATATGCATTTTTCTGCTTTGGTTTCCTTAATGCTTGCCCCTGGTAAAGTTATCTAACGAGATCGCCCGCTTTTGCTTCTCCC